ACAGTCAGTAAGATACTTAGGCACTTACAAGGAAGTCTGGAAGACATTGTAGCCTGAATTAAAAACGACATAAAACTCTGCATTTACCTGTTGCCTCACCACAGTGATTTCTAATAACAGAATCTGATCTGATCAACCCAGAAAAAACTCTACAAGCAGATGATCCCCTGTCATTGCACATCAACTGGACTGCGTTACATGAGCATGTGTTTATTCCCAGCCCTTGAATGGTGCCAATATACCCCAGTTTAAAGCTGACACAAGTGGCTAGGATAATGTATGCAAATATATTGGACAGCAGCTTTTAAAGTGGTAATTGGTTCAATATCTGATCATCTGACCGCACAGTTGTAAACAACGTTTTTAAAGTGGTCATGTCACTGCAGCTGCAATCTGCCCTCTACATAATAGCTCCCTATTACCAAGCACTCATACGTAAAATGAATGATCAGTATCTGCTTCCCTCATTCTCCCAAGGGATGCTAACCATGTCAAATAAAAATGCTTTGCTTAAAGGGATAAAAATGTGAATCAGAAAAAGATTTTGCATGTGTTAGAAAGCACAGAACTGCTAAAGACAGTACAGCTCCTTACTACACGGAAATTAAGAGCTTGTTTGGAAAATATGTTTGTATGTTTGGATAGAAATCTAAATAATATCCTCCTATTTAACTAGAGTGATGTAGAATTTAATTGGTCATTAATAGTGAAAAAATTTGACTGTATTTAACAGCTGTGAACCTTTAAAAATCAGCAGATTTTAAAGCTTGAAAAGCTTCTAGGCTCTGCTTCCCTGTCTACCCCTCTAGTTGATGACCCTGCATCCCATTCTGAGGCACTGAGATGTAACATGAGCCTTAGCTTTGTCACACAGACCCAGGTCCCTGGCAGTTTGGGATCACAAGTACTTGGCTGCCAGACACCTATGGATTTTATCAAATCTGTGTTGGCCACAAAGGTGCATCTGCAAAACACATCCTCCTCCTAGGCATCCCTACTGCTTGTATTTCCAATAATGTTAGCTTCAATTCCAAGAGTGATTGCTAATGTAAAACCTTGACTTGGGGAGCACATTCTGGTTTTCATTTTTACTGGGTTGACAGAAAAATAATGGAGCAGGCAGCTGTGTTTCAAGACTGAGATTAATCCTATTTATTTAATCATGGGTCTTCTGATCTGTCATATTTCAATTATATGCAAATTTTCATACTAAGTAAACATCAACCCAAAATGGAGTAGAGTATTTAGCTAGTAATTGGATCTGACACCCCACAAAGCCTTAGTTTTGCATAAAACCCACTGAAGAACTAGCAAAGTCAGTTACAGAACAAATCTTATCAACCAGTTAGCAACATCCTGCTGGCAGCACCCAACACACCTCAAGCCATTTGCAAAATGGGAGCTGCAGACAGCAAAGGAAGCAGCTTGCCTTTGGAAGCGTGTCAGTGGGATTCAGTCACACACTGAAACGCCTGCTGGAAGGAGCCCAGTGCAACAACCTGAGAGTGAGCTGCAGCTTTGAAATGTGGAAATTTGTGGGACAGACTGTGGTTTCTAACTCTGGCTTGGAGGTAAAATCTTCACTAGTAAAAATATGGATACCTATTATTGAGTAAGGCTGAAGGTGAAAATGAAGTAATCATATTTAAATCAAAAGTAGTTGTTCATTAAAACTTGGCTTCAGTTAAAAAATGTTCAGCTTGCTTTTTTTTTTTTTTCCCTCAGTCCTGTTTACATTTATCTGCTTTTCTCTTAGTATGTTTTCTTGGCATTTATCTTAAAATTCAGTCTCATCAGAACTTCTGAACAAGGTATAAAAACATTCCATTTCACTGACATGATCAGTATAATTTCTGAGGGCAATATTTCATGTAATATTCAAATCACAAAATTCATAAGCAATGTGAAAACTCATTTGAATAGTTTATTACATCCTTGATTTGGTATAAATAAAACTGTTATAGTCTACTGTTTTATCCTTGTCATGCAATCCCAATATTCACTGCTGCAATAAATTAAGTCTTATAAACACCAAAACATTGTAAAACAAATTCAAGAGATGCTGCAAATAGGGAAAAAAAAGGAAATTATCTAGTGCAATCTTTCTGAGTGCAAAACCCTTGAAACATGTTGCAACCAGTCAGTTAATAATTGCTTTGTAAATCTGAAATGAAGCAGAGGGGATAAAACTAACAAACAAGTCATAAAGTACAATTGTTACTTGTTTGGAGTGATTATGATTCCCTGGAAGGAAGAGTGGCACAAAAAGGCTGGTTAGTGTTCAAGGATCACCTCTGCCAAACTCAGGAATGAGCATCTCAATGAAGAGAAAGTCAGGCAAAAAATGACAGGAGGCTTATATGGATAAACAAGGAGCTCCTGGACAAACCTAAAAAGGAAGCCAACAGAGGGTAGAACAGGTATGCTGGGAGGAGTACAGAAATTGTCCAAGCAGCCAGGGATCATGTTAGGAAAGCTAAAGCCTGGATAGGATTAAAATTGGCCAGGGCAACAGGAAAAGTACATCAGTGATAAAGGGAAGACTAGGGAAAATGTGGGCCCTCCTCAGAGCAAAACGGGAGAGCTGGCTGCCAAGGACATGGAGAAGGCTGAGGTAATCAACAACTTCTTTGCCTTGGTCTTCACAGACAAATGCTCCAGCCACACTACCCAGGTCACAGAAGGCAAAGGTGGGAACTGGGGGAATGAAGAATTGCCAGCTATAGGAGAAGATCAGACTCAAGAACATCTAAAAAATATGGAAGCGCACAAGGCCATGGGACCTGGGGAGATGCATCTGCTTGTTCTGAGGGAACTGCCTGAGAAAGTGGCTAAGCCATTACCATGACAGTACACTGAGGCTCCCACTGACGGGAAAAATAACCTCTACTTTCAAAAAGAGAAATAAGACACAGGAAACTACAGCTCTTTCAGCCTTACCTCAGGTCAGAAAGACCATGGAAAGAAATCCTCCTGGAAGCTTTGCAAAGACACATGTAAAATGAAGAGGTGAACGGTGACAGCTAACTTGGCTTCACTAAGGGCGTATCACGCCTGACAAATTTGGTGGCCTTCTCTGACAGGGTCTATGACTGCCAGTGCCAACCATGTTCAAAATGTCATAACAAAGAACCTGTTTAAATATTTCCTCCAGTGTAGCTATTATACTTGTGCTGGAAAAGACATATAATCCTTAGAAATAAATAATATGTCACACAAAATACATGCTTGCACAGATCCTGAATATTACAACAAATTTTAATATTACTCCCCAAACACACTGGTCTCTCTCCCTTATTCACCCAGGCTGAACAGAACACATGATGGATGTTAAAAACCCAGGTGCCATCATCATTGCATCATGCTAGAATGAGGAGCTCTCTTCCAGAATGAAAAAGACATAAGAAGGTAACTTTCAACAGGAACCTCTTACAGCAACAAACTGAAGTTCTGGAAAGTCATGGACAACTGGAAATAATGACAAAGACTGGCTAATTTTGAAATTGGCCCTGTTATCATTTTAAGCTATGACATGCCAGACTTTTCAGGCACATGTAACTTAATGACAAATTTTCTTCCAGTGTAATGGCTTGGCAGATCTTCACCATTAGCTTGCAGCCAAAATGTCATTCCACATCATGCTGCCAGCATTACAATATTCACCTAATTTGTCCCTTGTATTTTATGTTCAACATAAAGTCAGAAATCATGAAAAAGAAAATCCTTTCTTGTCTCACAGTTATTTCAAAGAATTTTAAATGATATTTTATTACCAGTGTTCCCAAACTGGAAGCATAAGAAAATCAGAAGGAAGAATCAGAAAGGCAGATTTAACTTGTTTAAAATGTAGCTCATTTCTGGGCACTTCATGCCAACAAACTTCTTTCCTGAAAAGCAATATCCAGCTATTTATTTTTAACAATCTTAAGTTACTTTGTGTTCTTATAAAAAAGTTTATTTGCTCTTAAAAAATTAACATTTAGATAGTCTGTTTAAACATTTTACTTGTAAAGATTCACCTTTTCCCACATCAAGAAGCCCACACCAAAAAAGGTGTTGAAATTCTGCCATGCAAGTATTCATATGCCTCACCTGAGCATTTCAAATCTTGGCTTCCTATTACTCATAAAAGAGGCACTCTTTGAATCTTTCCATTATTATCAAGAGACCTGGACAGACACTTTATTTTTCCCATCAAAAACAGAAACAAGTTCTTATCATATTCTTTTTAAGGGATGTGAGTTCTGAACATTTTAAGAGCACTAAGAACTCTCAGGACAGACCTCAGAAAAGAACTCACGTAATTCTAGTACTACTTCACTTAATATTTAGTACACATATGCTTCAATTCTAAGACAAATTTAAGTATGAAAATAGAGTGGAATGAATTTATAAATGTGGAAAAAATAATTTTCAGAGAATTTGAAGAAAATCAATAAACATGAAGATAAATATTCCAGAAAATGATATATCTAGTATAAATCAAATTGAAAAAGTTCACAACTATAAAGTATGTTCCTGCCCTCTCCTAGCTGATGGAAGATTGCTAAACTGTGGTCTGAGTCATAAGCTGAACAGAAATGTCTTAGGAATGTTTTGTTCATGCTATTTGCTCCACATGAAATTCATTAACTTCATTAGCATGATATTTAGGTAAATTGTTACATGTATTAAAATGTTTTTACAGACTTAAGTATTCAAAACTCTTGAAAGTGTACTCTCATACTAATGTCTGCAATCAGAAAACAAAAGTCATCTACAGTTCCTCCAGAAAAGAAGAATGGAAAGCAAAAAACAATGACAGACGGAAAAATAAAACACCTAGAAAATATATCAGAGCATCAACACTTAATAGCCTCTTTGACATCTCCCTGGGACAAAAGAATGAAAGATGAAAGTTCAACAGAACAGAGTGAAGGGTTTTTTTTCTTTAGTCTAAAGGAACAAACTCAATGTAACAAAACCTGTCATGGAAGAATGTTTCAAGTGACTTACTGGAACCAGGAATTTTTTTATTTCTTCCAAGGCGTGACTCATACGAGAATACGCTTCCCCAGGTGGAGCAAACACTTCAATTAATACGTGGAGCTCATCACTCAAGTGCGCATATTTGGCTTCTCCACTTTTCCTTAGTTCTTCCTCCTATGAAGAAAGGGTGGATTTGGTTTTTAGAACAGGAGATCTACTAATTTTGCAGTGATTTAGCATTCACAGATAACATGACAGAAAGACATACTATGAGCAGACTTTTAAATCCTTTGAGAAATAAAAGTCTGGTTCAAGCTACTTAAAGATTTAAAAATCAGTTTTGAGTGTTTGAATGATAAAACCAGCATAATTATCATCTAAAGCAGATTTTAATCAACACACTGAAAAAATGCTAAATACTCCAGAAGGAAGTACTGACATACTAAATCCATAATGGAAAAGCTGCATTCATCTGTCTGAATCTTAGACCTTTGCAAAAAAAACCACAAAAACCCCCATAAAATAAAGATGCATTTAACCATTTCAGAACACTATTGTTTAGTAAACTCTTTAGGTTCTTCAAGAAATATCTGCAGCCTGTACATTTTAGTATCACCAAAAGAAAAAAATATGCCCTAGGACTTTTAGTTCAGACAGGACAGTTTGGGTGTGAAGGGACCTAAAGAATATCTAGTTCCAGTGCCCCTGTCACGAACAGAGACACCTTCCACTAAATCAGGTTGCTCAGGGCCCCATCCAATCTGGCCTTATGCACTCCCAGGGATGGGGCATCCACAGCTTCTCTGGTCCAATGTTCCAGTGTCTCACCACACTCCTAGTGAGGTAACTTTTCCTAACGTTTAACCTAAAACCTACTCTCATTCAGTTTAAAGCCACTACCCCTTGTCCCCTCACTATGCACCTTTTCACAAAGTGAAAAGTGCTCTGGCTTTCTGTCCCTCTTTCTGTACTTGAAAGGTGCCATAAATTTACTGTGAGCCTTCTCTTTTTCAGGCTGAGCAATCCAAATTCTCTTCATAGCAGAAGGGCTCCAGCACTGATCATCTTCATGGCCCTCCTCTGGACGTGCTCTGACAGATCCATGTGCTCCTTATGCCAAGGGCCCCTGAGCAGCTCTCTACTCAGTGATGTCTGAGCTTCAGCCCCAGCCCCAGTTCAGAGAAATGCAATGCAGTGTTCACCAGCTCAGATGCTGAATCACCTCACCTAGATACAGCACAACCATCTTTGGGTCCCAATTTTCTAGCTATAAAACAAGCCTAACAATCCTACTTCACGTTAGAGTAATGTTCTGAAATGTCAATCCACTTTCTTACAATAAGCTCTGAGGTAGGCAAATGTAAATTGCAAAATACATTTGTAGTAGTTACTGCTCCACAAAAATCAAAGACATAGAATAGTGATCATGTTAATGGCACTGGCTATGACAACATAATGAAAAATCTATGCCATTACTACACAAGATAGCCATAAGTAATGCTAAAGCAATGATGAGTTGAACTCTCAGTCTTCAAAAATATTTTGAGAAATGTAATTTAGAAGAAAATATGTATATACAGAAAACATTATCACAGAAGAAGTAAACTAATTTGCTTGAAAATGGTGAAAAGCTTCTTAGTATATACTAAAATATAGTTTATTAACATTTAGCTAAGATATAGAAACAGTAAAGACAGAACTACAATTCTTACTGATTTAGCTTATTTAATTCTGCATTAACTTCACTTATTTTAGCCTTGACCAGTTTACACCAATGCTTGCTATCAAAAACATCTGCAAGATGCTATGCTTCTAAAAATAAGTATTCAGTTCTTTTTATCCATTTTAGAAGATCCAGCCTCAAGGATTGTTGATTTTCCAGATAATACAAAGGCTACATCCTGTATCTGCAGAGCATGAGAACTATTATTTTACTTCTAAAATAAAATACTTGCAGTAACTGAGTTCCCATTAGAAGCCAGAGAGCCTTTCTGGAGTCCAGCCTTGATTTAGTTTCATAGGAGAGGAGCCCAGTTAAAACCCTGTGAGCTCTGCTTGCTTTAAATAATGGGAATTGGGAATGATCAGGAGGCTCTCCTCTAAACTGTGTTTCTGAGTCAAACAAAAACACTAATGAATAACACCCCATGTAGGACTGCTAAGGACTGAAATGAGTTATGAGACTTCTTAGCAGCACCTGGTACATTAAGGTAGGATAAGTGGGATCATCACAAATCTATTTTTTATGGTGTTCTTTACAAGACTATCTGGGTGCTAATGGCCTTGCAAGGCCCTGGTGGCCTCTAAAACACCAGTGCAATTACTTGTGGACTTTGGCAGTTTCTTATATAACTTTGCCTTAATTGCCTCTAAGGTTCAGGTATTCCTCAGCTGCTGTCTGTAACTTTTGACAGATTCTCATAGCTTTTTATGCTCTGCAATTGCCTACATCATGTCCAGCAGTTTTCTAGACCCTGTTCAGCTTTCACAGCCTTAGTCAGTGTCCATCCAGCAGCCAAGTGGTTCTCTCACAGCACAAGCACAGAAATAGTATCTGCTTAAGCTTACCTATATAGATACAGAATGAATCACAGTGGAAGGTGATGTGCATCGAAAGCCTGATGGATTCACTGAATCAAAATACAGTTAAGTCTCAGGCACTGGATCTTAGGGTAGAAAAGTAAAAACCTGGGACCTGATTAGTTCTGCTTTCCAAAAGGAAAGGAATAGATTCCTTGGGCTTCTGGATTACAGCAATTGCTCTTAGTTCTGACTTTTAGATTCATAATATGGTTCTTGCTTAGTTCACAGTGACAATGTTTTACTTCAGTGTGGGTTGAGCATAGCAGAGAAAACACAAGAGACAACTGCCCCTCATCCTGATCCTCTTCCACTCCATTCTGCATGTCAATTCCCTTCACTTCTCAAAAGTGACCAAACTCAGCTCTCCCCATACAATGTGCTTCAGACTTCCTTTATTCCCTTCATTCTCTCTTCTTCCTCTCATTCTTACAGAATCTGTCACACAGTGCTGAAGTCCATCCACCCTCAACATGATGCATGGCTCTATAACCCACTCTCTCATAGGGTAACAGGTATTTTGAAACATCTACTGTGTTTTAGAATTTTGAGTTGACTAAAAAGGGAAAATTACTTATAAAACCATAGCAGAAATATTAGGAGTATCAACCTCTGCAAAAGTGAAGCATGTGAGTGATAGGAACACAGAGGCCAAGAAAAATGATGAGTTATCTCTGGATGTGAAAGGAGTCTTAACATTTTAAAAGGATGTGTGTTGACAGAGGACTGCTTTTTTTTCAGGAAGCCTGGCTAAAATGCTTGAATAGAAATACTGGAATAAAGTTGAAAGAAAGGGAGTTTGCACAGAAAACAAAGTTACACAGTCTAAATTGGTGAATCAAAAGTGTCCTCATAACACTGAAATAACAGCATAACAAAGAATCATAGAAAAGAAACTTCCAGTAGGAATTGTGTAGATCTTTGAGATAAATTTCATCAATACAATACAAAGAACTTCTTATAATGAAACAAATACAGCTACGAATAGAAACAATGGGTGTCTTAGGAACAATATGAGAATTGCAATGGATTTTACATCTTGCAAGAATTTACAAAGAAAAGCATAGTGCAGAGACTAGACAAAGATGATAACGACAGGGCTGCTGCTACACAGGCATTATTCAATCAATCAATCAATTCGGCAATGCTACAGAAGAAAATTAATGAGCATGCAGTTTGACAAATGCAAACCTATTAATTTTTAATCTGCACATAAATGAGAAAAAAATCAAAACGTTGTCTGCCACACTGGCTGTAGCAAAAGTAATAGTGAACTAATTTCTTGGGAGCACTGGGTTTAGAGTTAAAAATCTTTCAGGTCCAAGGTCCCATCATTGGAGAAACAAAGAACAAAACAAAACAAACCACGCCAAACAAGCAAACAAACAAACCAAAACAAACAAAACCAAAAAAAAAAAAAAAAAAAAAGGAGAAACAATGTGATAATGGATGAGGCATTGGAAAGAGATAGTTAAAAGACCTTAAAGACCTTAGCTGTTCTTTGACTCTTGTTTTTAAACTAGATATTCTCACTCCAGGAAGAAGAATAAAGAAGATGGAGGTGATGAGTACATGAAGAGAGCTCACACAGTAGTGCAAAGAGAGTGGGTGTACAACACCTGCAGTCAACCACAGAGACCCCATTATGAAATGCAGGCATTAGAAAGAACATCGCCTACAACAGAGAAAATTACTGCAGATACAGGTGACAACAATTATTTTTCTATAGTTGATTAATCATTAAAATTTTCATTGTTACTTCAGTGAAATGGAGCAGAGAAGTGTGTACATTCAGTAGTGTCTTGGGGAAACAGGTCCTTCAGTGTTTTATTTCCTGATGCTTTTCATAATGAAATGAAATGCAACAAAATCTTAATGGCTAGGAGGCACTAAACCATAGCTACATAATCTTGTTGTTTAGAGGGGTGAAAAGGAAAAAAAGACTAATTAGCAGAAGAATGTGATAAGACAACCACTATTGATAGAACCCTAACATCTGACATGAAGGTTAAATGAAGAAAAAATTGAAATTCTTTGGAGAAAAAAAAAAGTCCCTGCCAGAAAACTAAGAGCAGTGATAGAGTTCACAGACCTACAAATGTTTCTACATTTGTACAAATCTAGGCAGAAGCTAAAACAGCACAGATAAGAACCACCTGGGCATTAGACAATTGCTCCTTGAATTAACCGAGCCAAAGACGTTCAGTGAATGCAATCAATGAATTGCAAGTTTGCAAAGCTTATGTAGGAAATCAAAGATCCTCAAGAAATGCACGATTAACATACCTAAAGATGGTTCATAGGATTATTTTAATCTTAAAACTTATGATAATAACTAGGGATCACTGCAATCCAGATGCCTTCAGATTCAGGAAGACTTTGCCTTAATTAATGAGAGTAGAAAATGTCATGCTTTTATTTATGAGAGGCTAATTAACAATTTGTTGCAACCAAGTTACAATATAGTTTGTTTGAACTCCAAACAAGATGTTACAGTTTTACTATGGGTGAGAACATATCTTAAAAGGAGTTTTTTGCTGGGTTTTTTTTTTTTCCCTTTAATACAAGGCTTATTAGAAGTGTAGTTCCATACT